CACACACACACATTGGGATCAAAGATTAAGAATATGCACACACAGATATAACGACATCTTGCAGCCGATCCTCTAATCAACACATTACAATGACAGTGGAAGAAGACACCCGGAAGGGGTGTGACTATCAAGGTGACTGATTGGGGCCTGGCTACTGAACAAGCTCTGTCAGAGGATTTGAAGTAACAGTTGGAGCTACAGCGCTGCAACATGGAAGAAGGCAAACAAACCGGCCAAGAGCACATGTGCATGTTCAACGCTTAACTCACACTACAACACAGCATTCACTTTAGTGACGGTTTGGCCTTTTTGATACTTTCTGCAATTAAACAAATGAAAAGAGCACTTCCAGCTTAACCGTGCACAGATGAACAGTGAACTGCCGGGCCATATGGGAACCTGTCTTTCCAGGATCTTTTACTACCACCCAGAAATACAGGGAAGATAAGCAGACACGTGAATACAAGGGTGGATGGGTTCAGTAAATGGCATACAGTCATGGACAGAGGCAAGAGACACACAAAGGGAAAATCAAACAAAAGAAACCCAGAGAAAACAAATGAACCAAAAACCACTACAGCAGCTAAGTGACCCGGCCTCATGACTTGGCTTATGCCAGAATTAACAACTATGTGGGTGACGTGCGCTCCACTCACCCACTAAGGAATTCTAAAAACACTGCTCTTGATAACCACCAGTTGTGCAGGAAGAGTTCCAGTGGGGGAGTCTGAGAGCTGTGACTGACCACCAAACCAAAGAAAATTGCATGACCTCAGCCGGACCTGTACTGCTCTTCATACTTTTTAAACTGATTCCCACCCCACTTATGATCTGACATCAGCCCCTACAGTTGCCTAGGATTAGGATCAGTTTTGAATGAAAACCTGGGAATGCCATGTTTACTGTAGCAGTCTTAGAACATCTGGGCAGGTGAGACAGACCTAACTCTCTTGCTGAATCATCCCGGTATTGATCAACATCCCTGGCTAATCCGTCAGAACAGGTCGCAAGGGGACAATGTAAATAGCTCCTTACATATAATGTAGATGACCAGTTTTTAATTACTAACTCAATCTTCTGAGCATTTATCCAGGATTTAAGAAAGGTGGGTGAAGTGCTATTAATCCAAACACAAACAAATCATCCAGGGCTATTAAATCAGGCTCAGTATGTGGTACTGTGAGTACAAACATCACCACTCAGGGCGTTTCCTTACAAAACCTGACTGGGACCAGACAAACTGAGAGGAGTGGGTGGGTGTTTTCCAAACCCACTTCAGTCTCCCTGTGTTTTCTTCAGTTTAAATTTGGGAAAATGCTTGCATGTGGTAACTGGCCAGACAGAAATCAAGGTCCAAACAATCTCATGAACTGCACATTTCACAGGAAGAAACAGAGTCTTTCCACATTTGCCTAAAGAACCCCTGTGGTAGTCTCACATCTTATACAAGCATTTGAGTCAATATTGTGCACCTGCGACTGTTCCCACTGGGCTGCCTGCAAAGCTGCGAGCATCACACAACTGCACTGAAAGAACCATAACGAATCTGCCCCCACCCCCGAAAGCCCTGCTATAGCCTCCGTCAGGTTTTTTGGTTTCACAAGCAAATAACTTTCTGAACATCTGTTAGTCTGCTTGTTTTGGATGGACTCTGATATTCCAATAACAGCTGAATACTGCGTAGTGTTAGTCTTCACAAACATCTGGTTTACAATGTCTGGCTGCTTAAAGTAACTATGGAGGCAAATTATAAAGCTTGTTACAACACTGAAACATTCACTTCCTTATTCTGTGTGTAAAAGAAAAATGTTGTGGTGTTGTGTAAGCCAGTTACATATTGAGTCCTGGCAAATTCTGAGGCCATCGCTTGCCCTCCGTGGCTTCAAGCTGTAAGAATCACTTGTCTCAGAAAAACAATGTTCACCATCATGACTGTCCTGCATCCTAAAATAAAACAGGCTTTTAGAGTGTTGCCTTATCCATGCATCATCCTTTTAAACTTTTAGATGGTAATACGGCCACAAAAACATGCAGGGGAGAGTCGTAATGATAATGACATGGTTGCCATTTGTGAGAAGGAAAGATGCAAAGAATCCCTTTTCAAAAGTAATATTTTAATAAATATGATTTATTCAAAGTCTGAGATGGAGAGTGTGATGGAAAATAACATGTATAGAAGTCATGCTGCAACTGTGGCTTTTGTTAAAAAACAGGAAATCAAATCGTGAATTGTATCAGAAGTTCAATGTGAGAATAAAGAAGTCATCATGTCCTGACAACAGTGTCTTTAAAAGACAAAATCTTATATTTCTAGAGATTATTAATAAAAAAGGATATCTCCTAATCTTAACTCAACAATATATTGATTGGGTCCAAACTGGAACTTAATTTCTGTTGAAGAGTGGCGCAATCTCACAGCATCTGCAGCAATAAGCAACCTCATTGCAGCTTGCTTTAGTGCAAGCAAGATTCAACACAGGAACCAAGATAATACCAAGAAATGTTTATCTCACCTCTTTACTTGTATTAGAGGATGTAGTGCAGCAACACGCGTTAGAAAGTTTAAAAAAAAACTTTTTGTACATGAGGAAATGTGAGCAAAATGTAACTTGATGATCCATCCATCTTAAAATCCAACATGAAAGTGGCAATTTGAGGTGTACACAACTGGGTCAATGATTACAGGGCTCAGGATGTTTGATTTCCTTCACAAAAAGAGTCTTTGATTGTTTGATGTGTTTCACTTTTTTTATTTTATTTGGCGGAGAACAGTGGAGAGACATTTTGAAATCCCCCTTGTCCACACAGCCACTATCAGTTGCTCTCTGCATGGTTCTGCTTACAGTGGGGCGAGTGTCACGTGTTGGCCGTCGCTCAGGCACACTCAGTCAAAGCACAGCAAATCTACTGTTGTGATAAGATAGTCTAAGATCACAATAATTTTTTTTGACCAAATCAGCATATCTTAGTTCAAACTGAACCTGAAATGTTGAAGAGATAAACCAAGGTGGTGGTGTCAACAATGGACAAACTATACACATAGTAATGTTAAACTAGTTAAAAGTATCAATATTGGGGTTGTTATGAGGTGTCCACAGATGTGTGTGGTGAGGCATGAGTGTACGGTGAGAGGAAAAAACAAACAGTAAGGGCTGATGAAACATCTAGCTGAATTTTAGTCACTGGACCATCTCCGCAGAATGGAAAAACCAGCAGACTAAAAAGCAGCTATATTGTGAAGAGAAAACAGTGACAGGGGAACCTAATGAGTCCTATCTCTGTTGCTCTTCCATTTCTTCTCTCTCTTTTTCACATACTCACATACACACTATAGATAGCATATCACCCTCACTACTCTAATAGACAGTCTAGTTGGCTAAGAGGAGAACCTGAGACATGATAGGGGATTATAAAGCTACTTTAATCTGCTGCTTAGCTGAGGTGGTTTAGTAGCTTGATAGCCAATAGTCTCAGCCTCAAGCCGTTCTCAGGACCTGGATCAGTTTCAACAAGTTAGCTAGCTCCCTTTTGTGCCAGCCACCAACACTAGGGATCATGAAACTCGATAACACCTCACCACTACCCGATTTATGTTGTGATTGTAACTTCAGATGGAAGGTACAGATATAATCAACTCAAGGGAGGGCTTTAAAAAAAGTGTAAACCAAGTGTGGATGACAGGCCCTGGTCAGAACCATTTACTTTCCTGCATCAAGCCTCTACTTTTTCTGTTCAGAGAATGTCAATTCAAAGCGTATATGTATTACTTAGCACAATATAGAAGACCCCTTGAATTATCAACACAACCCAGTCATCAGGTTACTCTGCCTGGATTGCCACCTCTGATACATGCAACACACAGAACTCCAAATAATGCTTATTTTCAAGGCTGCTGCTGGTGAACAAGCACTAGAATTAACAGCATATGATCAAGCCTTCACATTCATTTCAATATAAGAGTTTGAATTGGCTGGTTTGGTAAATATGGTTCAGAGAAAAAACTAAATGATAAACACATGGTTCACACACAGGTTTGTGCAGCTTTTCTTGTTAGGGCACTGTATAGATTTCCATCCATTGTGGAAAGCACAACCAACACCTTAACCTTAACCAGTTCGTGCCTAACCCTAACTTTAACCTAACCACAACTCACATCTTACCCCGAACCCCAACTAGGACCTCAAAATCGACGTAGTGCTTCATTAGGACTGGGCTTTGGTCCCCATGAGGTCCACCGGTCCTGAGTAGACAAGTGTTTACGCTGGAAAAGGTCCAGAAGATAAACAAGAACGAGTGACAGACACACACAGACACATATTAATACATACACACACAAACACAAGTCTCTGATAACCTATCACAGTGATCTTTCCAGTAGTATCCAGGAAGCATGTGTAAACCTACAAGATTATTCTCTGCAGGACACACACACACACACACACACACACANCACACACACACACACACACACACACACACACACACACACAGGACTAAATGGCAAAGAGTTTGTCAACACTGAAAGGAGATAACCGGCCTGTGTTGGGTTAAAATGTGGTTTAGCGGGTAAACTCCGAGCTAACGTTATCCCAGGTTAAGCTAGCTTATCCGGTTAGCCCTCTTACCTTTTGTGGGAGACCAGCGCAGCAGAGCAACGCCAACAAGATGCACCACACCAGGGCCCGGCTGCTCACCGTCCAGTCCATGTTTCGAGGTCTCAAACCGGGATAGACGAGTGGGTCCGGACGGCCGTCGACTACATAGAAAACGTGGATTGTTCCGGCTCACGAGTGGACGTTGCGAAATATTGTTTTAATCGGCGCTGCAACGTTAAAACCTTTGATCCAGAGCAGCAGCGTTGTGAGATCCGTTTCTTCCTGAAATGAGGGGGTTGGACTTTGGGACAGACGTCCACACGAGTGGAGGAGGGGAGACGTACATCCGCGGTGGACCAATCAGAAACGGCTCTGCTGACACCGGATGTGCTATAAACCCACATCCGGGCGGACATTAACTTCTGCAGCACCCCTTTGGAAGCATGTGTTCTCCGGGCGGACCTGCGCGACTGCAAATCTCTGCTTTTAATATGGCTGTGAAGCGCCACACGTTTATATCTACTTATCATTATAATGGTTCAGGCGGTTAAAGAGAAATTCGTTTTAAATTATTAAAGCGCGAAAATCATGCGCGTACGAGCACCGAGACAAGGCCGCGCCGGCGAGGAAAGTCACATGGTAAAATAAGTATTTTCTACAAACATCAAATTGCATGAAGGAAAAGTTTGAAATATTTGTTTTATTCCCTCTTACATTTTATTTGAATGACTTTCCACAGAGCTGGTGATGAACTGGGATTGAGGAGATTGCATATCCACACGTGGACCTGCAGATGAAGGCCTGCTGAGGTGCTGTTCATTATTTATTAGAGAAAAAAATATATTTTCTTTCCTTGGGTTTTACGAGTGATGATTTCTGTGCGTTAGACTTCTGATGTTAAAATGAAGTCAACTTTCACCCTGACATGTCTCACTAACACCATTCATAATGTGTGTTTTTAAATCCATCTCACTCATGCATTTTTATCTTCATTTGCAGACGCTGTTCACGGTTGTGAAATAAATCTCTGCCTGAACAACACAGTAAGTGTCTTTGATTGTATGAAATGTCCTTTTAAATGGTTATGAGTGATGATCATGATGCGTTAGACTTCTGATTGAATCTTGAAGACAATTTACATCTGACATGACCTGCATACATCATTTGATTGAATTGTATTTTAATGATAAGCTAATCAAGTGTTTCCTCTGCTGCAGGCGTCGGGCTGTGAGGTGGACCAGGTAAATCACAGGAGAAATGGTGACTTATAATACCTGCACATCCTGATTATTTATTGATCTGTAGATGTAAAAATGGCTGAATAAAGCATTGTTTTTAAACCAGTGTTACTCGTGTTATTTCACTTTTGAAAATGTGGTTTTGTTTATGCACTCTTTGGAACCTGGGCGGCTTTTTCATTGGCCGTTCACAAAGGCCAAGAGCGGTGCAAGATCATGTCTTGTCATAACTGGAGTTTCTTGGCAACTTTCCCAAGTCTCTCTTTTAAAGCAAGGCACAGAATCTAAACACACTTCAGTAACTTCTTTTGATGCAAATACACTAATGTAGGGAGATAGAATGTTGGAGACTTTTAATACATTGTTCCACAGCTATATGAATATTGGTCAAATGAGTCAACATTAATCCTGACTTATATAATAATTCATGAACAATATTAACCTGATTACGATGATAATCTGAATAAGACACTGATGAGTAAACTGCATTTCCGTTCACCTTAACCTAAGTAATGTCATATTGAGTAACAATTAGATTCAGATGTGGCGTAATCTGACCGTAGTCACATTATGTAGACAATATTCAACATCTGCAATGATTAGTTCATCACTCGACATCTGCCACTATAAGTGTTAAAAAAATCCCCAAACAAAACTTTTGTGTCTTAGTTTTATAATGTGAATCTTCACAAGGACTTTGAAATACCCAAGTATATGTAAATTGAGAATTGGGGTTTTTGATCTATTGATTAGACAAAATAAGGCATCACATAGGACATAGGAAAATACTTGCAGCCATAAACATAAACACAGTTTTGATGTGTAATGAGTTCATAGTTGTAAACATCTATATTTTTTATTATATGGATGGATCCTTTTAATGAGAATCTGGCATTGTGTTAATTTTCATCCTTTTCTGTCTTGATCACAAAGACACAGTTATTCTTTACAAGCAAAAGGTTTTATTGATCCACAACGATCAGAACCATGACATTCTGTGACATCACTGAACACAACAGCAATGTTTGATATTTTCACCACTGTGAAAATGAACACCAAAACTTGTGAAAACAAAGGGCATGTCTCATCAGACAAGTAATGGCACGACTTTTTTTAATCTCTATCCTCAAAACGATGCAACAAATGTGGTGGCTCACAATGGAGGAATGTTTATTTTTAAAGGCACTTTCTGCCTCATACACTTTGCCAACACACACATTTTAATGTAAAACATGTAAAGTAAAAAGTCACCTGGCAGGTTACACATTGCTGTTCTAGTTTATTGGTGTTATTCCTCTTTAATGTGTACAGTACAGAAATAACAGCAAATCAATTATTTAACAAAATTAGCTGGATGCCTGCAGACGTTAAATAATATGGCTAATATCCAGTTACTTATTCAAATAAAACAGGAAGAGCTGGTATGTTTCTGACTCTTTCTCTTGACATGACCACGAGAAGGGTTTCAGTCTCCTGCTGCTCCCTAGAAAAATATTCTTATGGATTTCCATCTGTAATTATCCAAAATTCAAGTGTACAATCAGTGGAGTGGCCTCGGCGTGAGCACGGGTTAATTATCCAATTGCTTATTTGTCACGCTAACCTCCAACAGGAGACTTCAAACAGGAATGAAAGATTGCTTTGGCAAGAAAAACAGAACATGAAAATAAGTATCGAAGCATGTTGCGTAGAAGCACGACGTCAGTGAATGAGATATTCCTGGAATGGGCTGGGGAGCTGCATTCCGATTTATACATTCATCAGACCTAGGCAATGTGTAGCTGCTGTGTTTGCTGATATATTTTAATTCACCCCATTAACATCAGTTTTAGCTCTACCCTATGTGACGCAGTAAAAAGCAAACAGGCTGTACGTCCATGGCGGATTCAAACTGTCTTAGTACTTCCTCTCACGGCGCCATTGATCTGTTTGCATATAGTAAGTACCAGGCAGCTGGCACAGGCAGCAGTGTGGATGGGTGATAAATGAATGTTGATAACCCTGTGAAATGTGCAGTTAAATAGACGCAGGGGCTCTCAGCACAGTCATCTCTACATTTCAGGGTTCTTCCCTCACTCAGACTTACACACTTGCCATCAGTGGCCTCAACAGCGACAGTAAACCGCTTGGTGGGAGAGGTTGCTCACAAAGTGGCAGCTGTACATCACAGGTATTATGGTTCTTCTGGTTGAATCAGATGGCTATTACTTGACCCACCACAACACTCTTATTCCATAAACAGCCTCAACGTGTATCTCATCAGAGAATGAATTATAATATTTGATGTCACACAAATAAAACAACTCTTTCGTGCTGCTCTCAGTGGCAACAAGTGATTGCGAGTTCGCCAGCACGTCCAGTTTTTGTGAGCGTGTCCACTGACATTTGCCACAATGAGACAGGGTTATGGGTAATAACATCGGGAGAGCTGGCCCAGCGGTTTCTGAGTGGGCTGGGGGACTTGTCATATTGCCACGGTGATAAAATTGTCCATCGGCTCACGCTTTGACCAGTAGTCTTCATATGTCAGAGACCTCAGACTCCTCAGGCTCTGGGTCCTTCAAGGCATCGTTTGTCACAGTAACCAAGTTGGCGTTTGAACGTGTGTCCATGGCAGAGTGCATTATGGGTAGCCACACGTCATCCATGTTTGGCATCACAAATATTTTCTGTGGGAGGCAGAGTAACAAGTAAAGTACTTGCAACAAGAAAAGGGAAAGAGAGAAACTGACATTTATTCACAGGCTATTGTGAGTGTCTGGGGATGGAGCAAAAACCATTGATTGAAATATGATATAAATGAGTCACATTAGATTATGTCTGTGAACAAGAACAGAAGAAAGAAAAAACCTGATTTACATCATCAACTGTACATCTATCCCAACACTGTTATGTCTGGTTTGGCATTTGTTGAAAGCCAGATGTACACACTCACAACTGATACCAGTGCATGCTGCAACATAGTATTTTACTGGAGGCCTGGTTGACGAGGGGTGGTGCATAATGTTAAGCCTCAGAGGAGTCAGGCAGGGATAAATGCAGATGTGCGGTAGATCTGACAGGGACACTTTGCTGCAGCAGTTTGCAGCTGTGCCTCAGGGTCGTTATCTAGGAGCTGGCGTATCATTATCCTTTGTATGAGAGGGGTGGGAAAGCCACAGGCACATTGTTTTAAGTGCGTGGAGGTGGGCAGCTATAAATCAATCCCAGTCCTCTTTTATAACCCAAATGTAGGGGGAGATTCTCTTTGTCCCCGAGTAAACTTTCAACTTCTTTGAGAGGTCTTTCCGAAGCTTCTAAAGAGCATGATGGGATTCAACATCACCTCGTAACTATGTCGACATTATTTTTGACTTAACATCAGCATGCATACAGTCTGTTCTTCCCACTGTTCCTACCTGGAACTCCTGATTTAGTTTCTTCTCTATCCAGTCAGTCACGTGAACGAGAGTGACCTCCCTCTCACCAAGCTTAGGCCGCGCTTTCAGCTCCAGGTGAGGCGGACTCCGGAAACCATACCTGGTAACCACGAGGAAACGTTAATGGTAAAAGTTATATAATCTCATACAAGCTGAACTAGTATATTAACAGAAACATACGAAATGTTTCTATTTCTTTTACACAAGTGTTTATATTTGCTGGGTTTTAAGAGGTATAAATCAGTCTTCACAAACACAAAAAAAGAGAAATATCAGAAAATATATGAATAAAGTTGTGTAATAGAAATATATGTTTTCTTTCGATCATCAGATTTTCTTGGTGGCCCTTCAGGGGTCTTCACTTCCCGGTTGGGAGCCTCTGCCCTACATGCTGTCGACAGTTTCGTAATTAAGCTCATGTGCTAGCTCACAGGGATCATTTAATAATTTAATATTCCACATCTATAATGAAAATACATGCAGTGCACTTTTGCCCTCGTTCTCATGTTAAGTATATTTATCTCAGCAGTGATTAAAAAACGTTCTACTTTCATAGCATGCACGTCTGAATTTGCCCAGCAGAGTGCGCAGTGTTATTTTCTCAGCCCAGGATTCCCACACATTGACTCAGTGCATCCCTCACTCTTCAATGTACTCCTCCCTAGAAGTAAACATACCATATCCTGTCCGTGGGGGGAGGTGGGATGTTGACAGCCAGTGTCCCGCGGCACTCCTGCACCTCCACCGTGAGCAGCAGGGGCGTGTTGGACACCTCCTCCATCTTCTTCTTGATGAACTCTGTCTCTGTGGCCTTCTGGAAGTACTTCGACTTGGCTATCTTGTCCACAAAGCGCATGATCTTGCTGGGCCTGTGGCCTCCCACATAGCTACATGAGCAGAGGGATGGAAACGGAGGAGGCAAGGAGTGAGTCAGATTCATAATTTATTCATAGCAACATCTCTTGCCACTCAGCACCCACAACTCAGAGAGAGGGGAGGGGGTTGTGTGACTGGGTGTTACATTAAGTCAGCAGCGAGCTTTCAAACGTGTGGGACTGAGTGGGTAGGTGGACAGAAAGGGCAGAACATTCGGCTTCAACACATCAGTGTGACTTTATTTCTGCACGTTTTCCATTCAGATACGTGCTGATGTTGTAAAGACACATTTGCTCACCCCTCGCCTCCAGGCAGAATAGGTTTGTCGCTGACGAGTTCCTGGGGATCCTCCTCATCCGATGAGCCAGCGCTTGACGACTCCTCATCGCTGTCTGCCAGACAGTATGTTCTGGGCCTGAGTCTGTCACACACACACACACACGTGAACACACACTCCTAATGGTTTTACACAGAACCACTAAGAATCAAAACAAATTCCTATCAAAAACATCCCCACTGATATAATGATAATCGAGAACAAAATGTATTGTTTTGAGTAACAGAAGTCTATTTACAAACTCACCAGTTATTAGACAGATCCACAGTGAGCGTCCAGAGAGAGTGTAAGCACACAAAGATAAGAGATGAAGAGGCAAAAGAAAAATGGTTGGAGCTGTGAAAAATACAGATGTGACATCTAATATTGCTCAAGTGCAAATCTGTCCATTTAGCTCAGGGCTGTTTTGGTCAAAATAATCTTTCAAACATTTTATTTTGGTGCCATCACTGAGAATATACAGTTCTATAAGG